CAACCAGGAGTATCGCCATGCAGTGATATGAAACTGGTCTAAGGCTGGCAGTGGGGAGGGCCATCCAAGGTCTCACAGAGTACAGGATCACCACGGACCCCTTGTGGGAGAAGCAGCTATGTAACACCATGGCAGAGAGTTTACTCAAATGGATCCTCAAGTGAACATATTTGAAATGTTATAAAACTGAAACCATTTTAGACTGTGTCTGTTACATATAATACCCTGAAAGTTTGGCTCCCATATTTATACACTGAACTATATCTGCAATACACAAACTGGGTGGTTAATTCAGGTGTAATAGATCCTCAATTAATATACAACAGGAGGCCCTGCTCCCGCAGTTGGATCTGGGAGGGCAGTCCCCTGCACCGATACATAGCCCCAGAGTCTGAGGTTGTTATTTAATAAAATAAAAATATAAAAGGGATACAAAGTTTTTATATATATATATATATATATACACTGGATATTGTATGTGTGACTATTATACAGCTATATGGATCTGAATCCATAAGAATAAATGTTTCAGTATATGCCACTTATTTAAGTATTATGAGAAGAGTGCCAATTTAATATTTAAATCTTAGCTTCATTCTTAGAGTGCTGTTTGGTCTGACAGCCAGCTTTCCCCCATAAACCCTGCAGGGTATGCACTGTTCAGAGTTAGGCATGCAGATCTTGGGCTGGGGTAAATCTCGGTATGTGTGTAACTGATGACTAGTTTGATATACATCCTCCTGTTACACACTTCTGGGTTGAATGTACCAGCCCTGAACTGGCAAAGACCAATGCCCCTTGAACCCAACCACACCCCTTTTCCCAGCAGCATTCTCCCCCACTGGCCCTGGGTGACTAAACAGAGTTCACCTCTTTTTGTGCAAACATGAATTCCAAACAGATGTAACTTGCCAGCTCTGACCTACAACTTAAGCCCTTACTCCAGGGATGAATTTAACCTGTTGAGACCAAAAAAAAGGGAGGGGGGAGGAAAGACTGTATCAGTGGGGTGGAAGAGCTCAGCAGCCCTGGTGCTCCTCTCCTCATTAAGTGCCCTCCACACCTGGAAGGTGCAGCTCCATTCTCTGCTCAGTGCTTGGTGGGAGGAACTCTGCTGTTCTGTTAAAGAAACCTCGCACTGATTTCTTTTCCAGATTACGATTACGATGATGAATACCAGGAAGGAGAGGAGGCAGAGGACCAAAAAGAAAGAGAAGAAAACAAACAAAAGGAGATAGAAAAGGAAGAGAATGAGAGAAATGGAAGAGGAGGAGGAGGAGGAGAAGAAAAAGAGGAGACAGAGGGAGAGAAAGGGGAAGATTATGCAGAGCCTCATCAGGATTTGCCTGAATAAAGAGGCAGCATTTCCCCAGGAAACCACTCGTTAGGGTTAAAGTTCATGAGGGGTTGCTGGGTTTGCAAACTAGTGCATTTTAGTTAGTGTGAAGTGGCCCCTATTTTCCCTGGACATGGAGTCAGCTCCGTCAGAATTGGGGCTACTCTTGCTCTTTGCCCTCCCTTTTAAATTTTTCCCCATGTTCCCAAGCCCTCCATTCAAGGCTGTTTGGGCTGTTACTGTGGGAGGAGTTCTGTTACTTCCCTCCCCCTCCCAGCCTTTCTGCCTAGAGTTCAGAGCCAGGTCTGTGCTTAGAAGCTTTTCTGCTGTGCCCACAGCTTTCTCTGGTAAAAAACTCAGCAATTTTGCCAATGTAGCTTATTCCAGCCCCTCTGAGCAAACTAAGCTATACCAGCAAAAGCGCCTGCTTGCTGGTATAACTGGGTCTTGCTGGTACAGCCGTGGCGATCAGGGAACCCATTTCATTACACCGCGGGCTGAGGGAGCTAAGCTGGCAAAAGTTGGTGGGGTAGAGCTGGCCCAGGACTCTGACAGAGAGTCAGACGTTACTGAGGGCCCAATACTGCACCTGCTATGCAAGGGCAAAAGTCCCATCCACTCCCGGGGGCGTGCCGCATGCACTAGCATGGCAGCGTTGGGCTCTTGCAAGTATATTTGACCCACCGGGAGAGTTGCACTCATGGCAAAGTTGGGTAACATGACTGTAGGACACAGCGTTTTACCTCACGTGCCACTGACTCACTGGCGCGGATCCTCCAGGCCGCATCCCGCGCTGCCTGATTCCCACAGGCTGTGAGCAAGTGCTGGGTGGAGCGTGGCCTAAGTCAACTGTGGCTTTGAGTCACGGTGAAACATTCATGCCGCCAAGGGAATGTTATTTTTAGTGTATGTGACTCGTAAATAAATGATGCCAACCGTGATGGCCACAGCTTGCCTCCTTGAGGGCGTGAACTACAGTGACTAACAACTAGTGCCTTCTCTGCAGGGGGGAGGGAGCTGCCCTGGCTGTGCCTTCTCTGGGGGAGCTGGGAGCATTGCGATTGCAGAGCCAGGCATGGGTCTGCGCCTTTCAGGGCAGTCTGGCGGTGTGCCATCGGACGAGCCTGGCGCTGCAGGCAGACCTCTCCATTGTTCGCCATAGGCTCATGTTTATAAAGTGTTCGCTGTTCAGGGTGCCAAAAAAAAATCCCCCCCCTGTAACGGCTGGCTGCCTGACTTTGCCGGGAGCCTGAAACAGCTCCGGACCCTGCCCCGTTCAGCTGTGCTTAGAAGCATTGCCCAGCCAGCTCTACTGCTGCTACTTTAAAGGGCACCCCTGTTAACCAGCTCACTGCGCAAGGCAGATCAGGCGCGGCAAGCCCGGCCCGGTGCTCCAGCAGTTCCAAAGTGGGGAGGGGGCTGCACAGGCCTAGCGGGTGTGCGTGAAGGAGCAGGCGTGTGAGTGCGCACGGCAGGCGTGTGAGTGCGAGCACTCACACCACCAGGCCGGGTTGGCGGGGGCAGGCTGCTGGTGTCACCGCTGCTCAGAGCTCAGCTTGCAAGCCTGCGGGGGGCCCTGTGGCTGGCTTTGGGGGCGTGCAATGCCCGGCTTGGCAGCTAGGGGCTGCTGGCCGTCAGGCCTTTGGCCGGCGCGTGCGCATTGGGCGCCTCCCGCCCACCGCGGCGGGGCTATGAAAATCGCGGCGGGCGGGCCCCTGACAGAGCCGCGTCCCCTCCGCTCGGCAGCCGCAGCCGCTGGAGGCGCCGCCCTCGCCATGGTGAGCGGCTCGGGCGGCGCGGCGGGGCCCGTGGGGGGAGTAAGGGGCCCGTGGGGGGCTGGAAGAGGAGTAAGGGGGGGGGCTGTAGGGGGGGGGTCGGTGTCTGAGGGGAGTAAGGGGGCTGTGGGGGACTATGGGGGGTTGTGGGGCAGTAGGGGGTCGGTGTCTGAAGGGGTCGTGGGGGCTCTAGGGGAGTAAGGGGGGCTGTGGGGGGGGGGTCGTGGGGGGCTCTAGGGGGAGTAAGGGGGGGCTGTAGGGGGTCGTGGGGGGCTATAGAGGCGGTAAGGGGGGGCTGTAGGGGACTATGGGGGGGTTGTGGGGCAGTAGGGGGTCGGTGTCTGAAGGGGTCGTGGGGGCTATAGGGGAGTAAGGGGGGGGCTGTGGGGGGTCGTGGGGGGCTCTAGGGGGAGTAAGGGGGGGGCTGTAGGGGGTCGGTGTCTGAGGGGAGTAAGGGGGGGCTGTGGGGGTCGTGGGGGCTATAGAGGCGGTAAAGGGGGCTGTAGGGGACTATGGGGGGTTGTGGGGCAGTAGGGGGTCGGTGTCTGAAGGGGTCGTGGGGGCTATAGGGGAGTAAGGGGGGGCTGTGGGGGGTCGTGGGGGGCTCTAGGGGGAGTAAGGGGGGCTGTAGGGGGTCGGTGTCTGAGGGGAGTAAGGGGGGGGCGAGGGGGGCTGTGGGGGGTCGTGGGGGGCTATAGAGGAGATAAGGGGGGGCTGTAGGGGACTATGGGGGGTTGTGGGGCAGTAGGGGGTCGGTGTCTGAAGGGGTCGTGGGGGGCTATAGGGGAGTAGGGGGGGCTGTGGGGGGTCGTGGGGGGCTATAGAGGAGGTAAGGGGGGCTGTAGGGGGAGTAAGGGGGTTGTGGGGCAGTAAGGGGTCGGTGTCTGAAGGGGTCGTGGGGGGCTCTGGGGGAGTAAGGGGGGCTGTGGGGGGTCATGGGGGCTATAGCGGGTAAGGGGCGCTGTAGGGAGATATGGGGACTGGAGGAGGTAGGTGTCTGTGGAGGCTGTGAGGGGCTATAGGGGAGGTAAGGGGCACCATGGGGGGTAGGTGCCTGGAGAGGTGGGGGGACTGTAGGGGGTAGGTGACTGAGAGGGGCAAGGGGGGTTAGGGGGTGGTAAGGGGGGTTTTGTGGGGGGCTATAGGATCAGGTCAGGGGGCCATATGCTGTGGGGATACAGGGATCACAGTGTGGGTGTGCGTGTGTGAAGTGTTTTGCTGGTGAATGGGACCCCCCCGCTGAGGGGGGCTGAGCAGAGCACCCCCCACAGTGCCTCTCCCAGCCCCGGGGGCTTCTTGCCTGGGCTGGCACGTTATGGACCTTCTGCAAGGCTGGTGTAGCGTCTTGGGGTAGCAATGAGGTGAACCCCCCCCCACAACCCTCCTAGCTGGGGGGCAGCCACTTCCTAGGAGCAGACAGGGGGGTTTCAGCCAGTCCCCCATAGGGCGCTAGTTTCTGGACTGTCCCATCTATTGCATATTGCATGGTGTGTTTTGACCAGGTAGAAAGCGTGAAGAATCAGGACAGGGTCGTAGGGCAATAGGCACCTGTGTAAGACAAAGCCCCGCTCTCGGAATTGTTCCTATAAAAATCAGGACATCTGGACACCCTGGCTTTGGTGACCCCAGGCAGGGCTCGCAGGCTGTGGAAATTCAGGGGGATCCATGCAAGGTCCAGCCTGAATGCTTGCTATGCCTGCAGGAGAGCTTTTAAAACTTAAGAGTTAGAGCCAGCCCCCAAGGCGAGGACAGCACCACATCGTATGTCTGTAAATACAGGAAGAAAATAAAACCCACCCAGACATCTGAATTTCTCATGCAACCATCCGCCTGTATGAGAGATGCAGAGTCCCTGGGAGGTTTCGTTTCCTTTTGTCTTTATCAACAGCGTCTACAAATTCTGAGCTGTGTAGCGACTGTCTGAGCCAGGTTAATGCAGCCCCCGCTCCGAGCAGCTCGCTATCTTTTTAGATCGTCACAGCCTTCATCTTGGAGGCAGAGAGAGCCTGCTGGCGCTCCCCTGACAATGTAAGGTCTCCTCTTTTATTTGGGGCCCTGTGAACCTTCTATCTGTTGAGTGAGTGAGGGGTTAAATGTTGCTGAAATGCATTGCACAATGGCTGGTAGTGATGCAGGGAGGAAAAAGTTTTAAAGAGACTGTGAAGGAGGATCTGCTCCATAATTTGCAATCAAAACTGTGCTGTAGCTGTGTGTAACTGGTGGCAGAATTTCCAAACTCATGTCTTCAGGTGCTTGGGGAGGGGACGGGGTAGTGCTGTGAGAGGGATGGGGTGGCTGGGGGGGGGAGATAGGACGGACAATCTGCAACAGATATTGGCCATGATCCTGCAGTTAAACTCCCCCAGGGCTCGGCTAGCATGTAAAGGTCTGCTCAGACAGAGCCACTTGTAGGATGAGTGCGACATTTGACAGTGCCAGTCTAGCTTAGAACCTTCTCCCCCGAAAAAAAAATTTCCTGCTGTTTTATCAAGATGTGCTCTGTACTAAAAGTGCATGTTCCCATTAGTCAGGATGAGAGGACTTGTATTCTCACTTAAATACAAACTCTGTGGGTGTAGGCAAGGAAAGAGGTGGCAGCCTATTACACGTTAAATGAACTTTTTGGAAACGTTCACATTTCCTGTTCAACAAACAAGCAAAATATAGATATTACTACACAGGGTCAGAATGATGTAGCTTTGAAAGGGTGCTGACTGACATTTTAAGTAGCTGATACTTGGTATAGCATACTACAGTGAAAAGAGAAAAACTCGGATCTTCAGAAGTATTTTAAGAAGACTGTGAAAGGACTGGCTCACTAAACGACCAAGAGAGGGGATGTTTCTCCCTTGGAGCCATTGTAAACCACTACAATCCCCCTTGCAGTGAGTGGCAGAAATTAAAGAAACGCATCCTAGGAACTCCATCAAGCATGTTGCTGGTCTGGCTAATTTGAACTGTTGTGTCTCCCTATGTTTGTGCTATAGGCAATGTCTGTCTGTCGCAAGTGTGGAATGTTTGAAACGTTAGTTGGGGTTAGGAGTGCTGGGGAAAATAAACCTGAGCAAGTTTCCTGCACAGGCCATCTCTCCAATGAGACTATAAACGGAAGTTCAAATCTCACTTCCTGGAACCACCCCTCTTTGAACAGACAGGCAGCTTTCTGCCACCTGCAGAAATGGGTATTGTGATTAAGAATAAGAGAGCCTAGACACTCTAACATAGCTCCAAACCCACTCCACAGATTGCATTGGAATTTAGTCTTTGTATAGTTCCCAAGATGTATTGTATGCATTACCGATGGAAAAAAGTCACAGTCTCTATCGCAAACTACTTAAAAACAACAGCAGAGGGTGGAATGCCAAGTGAGGTGATGTGAGTGGCAAGGTTTAACCGATCACTCATTTTTCTAAATCCTTTGTTGGGCCACCAGTGCTTAGAGGTTCTCCTCCTAACTGCAGTGCCTGTGCCCTCTAGAAAAAACCTCACTAGTCATGTCCGATAGAAAACTGCTAACTGCTTTATCCCCTCACCCCCCCCGCCCTTCTTAGCAGGGAGTAAAACACTGTTGCAAATCTTACCAGTGCCACTTAAAATTCATCCTCTTTCCTGGAAAGGAGACCAAATACTTGTTTCCATACAAATAGGAGCTTTGTAGGGACAACTGGGGGGAAGGGGAGAAATGACAGAGCTGGTGTTGAATTGAATAGATTGTTTAATCAGAAACTCGCCAACTGCTCCTTTAAGACTTATTTGTGTGGTACCATTGTCTGTCCATTTTGTATGTGGCCTGGTTTCATTAAAGAGCTTATTATTTAAAGCTGGCTGATAAACAATGGGTGCTGAGGGGGTTTTCTATTATTGTTCTGTTGTTTGCATTTTAAAAAGAATGCCTCCGTTACTGCTGGTCACCAACAGCTGGTTTAATCAAAATAGTTTGACTGCAAACCAGTCCCCATCCAAATACTAGATGCATGCCGCACTCAGATGCTCCCTTGTGGTTGTAGCTCTTACACAATCAACCTCAACAAGTATGCAGGTAATAAGTGAGAGTCAAAGTGGACCCTGTCAAGTCAAATCTGATCCAACAGTTAGATGTAGAAACAAGTTTTTACAGCTCCCATTCAGACTACTTCCATGTGGACAAAGAGCCTGAGAGATGAAATGAGACACTAAGTACCTCTGTAATGAGTAAAAGGTACCATGTGCTTACCAAGAGGGAATATTAGCTCTGCCAAGCTCCCAAGAGAATTCCGGGTGGATCGTACCATTCTTCCAAACAAGGCCCAAGGCCACTTTTTAATATAAATGAGCTACTTTCTCTGGTAAGCACTCAGCATAAAATGTGCCAATAGTACACAATGGTCAGTTACAGGACTACATTTTGAGTTCATCATCCTACTTTTTGTAGCTTCAGTTCAGTTTCAAAGGGATTTATATTTTAGTAAAAAGAACGAGGAGGACTTGTGGCATCTCAGAGATTAACAAATTTATTTGGGCATAAGCTTTCAGGGACTAAAACCCACTTCATCAGATGCATGCAGTGGAAAATACAGTAGGAAGATAGACACACACACACAAACGTGAAAAAATGGGTGTTGCCATACCAATTCTAATCAATTAAGGTGAGCTATTATCAGCAAGAGAAAAAAAAACTTTCCTAGTGATAATTAGGGTGGCCCATTTCAAACAATTGACAAGAAGGTGTGAGTAACAGTAGGGGGAAAATTAGCATGGGGAAATCGTTTTAATACCACCCACAAACATGCTAGGCACTTCTTGGACATAAAAGAAGACACAGCTCTTGTCCCAAATTGCTTAAAAGTGATGAAAACCACATAAGAAGGGTGGAGAGAATGATACAAGCAAAATGTTAGTTTCCACAGACATACCTCCACTGTCTTTACCCCATGACTACTGGTGAGCAGAATCAAGCACTTTCCCTCTGCCACAGACCAAATAAATACTTGAATAGTACAAGATGATCCAAGCTTTGAGTCAGCAGTGTCACTTCTCTAGCATTTGGTCTCCACCCTTGTTTCTACTAATTAGTTGTAGTGAAACCACCATTGGTAAACCAAGCTGTTGCTCCATACCAGGTTAACCAATCTCAGTGGCCAGAATATGCCCAAGGCGAAAATTAAGAGGCTATTTAATGTTTACAAAAATCTTTGTCCCTGCTAGTACTAATGAAAATGTGTGTCTTTAAAATACCCTTTTCCTTCAAATTCCAGCTTCTACTTGGTCCTATAGGGATTCCACAGTATATTGTCAAAGAAACTTGTGTGATGTCATAATGCCAAGTTTGTGATAATACATCACTGCAGGACCAAGTCCCACCCCAAAATGTCCTACCATTTCACAAAGGCCAGTGTTTAATTCTGATGTACTTTGAATTACTCCTACATGGAAAGATCCTAATCTAATTTCTTTCCAGGGTAACCACATCCCATTGTGAATCCTGCTTGCAGTGCAAAAAACTCTGACAGGCAGAATCATGCAAACAGCTGCCTCTTACGCTTTTCCAGAAGCGCCTGTTTCTGTAGAATCCAAGCGATTTCACTAGTTTTGGTTTCCCTTCAGCCCCACATAATGCCACCTGTGGGGCTTTAAATGTCTTTGCCACAAGTACAGCAACACAAAATTATTCTACCCTGCAGCAGTTAGTTGTCAATAAAGATCTTACCTCATTTCCAGGGGTGCCCTTCAGCACAGCATCCAAGAGGAAAGGGTCTTTTTGGCATGATGTGCAGCAGTAAGTACACACTCCTGCAGGCAGACTTCTCTCTAAGTGGTCTCTTACACGCAACTGGAAAAATACCTGTAAAACGGGGGTTCTCAAACTGGGGGTCGTGAGGTTATTACATGGGGGGGGGCGGTCACGAGCTGTCAACCTCCACCCCAAAACCCTCTTTCACCTCCAGCATTTATAATAGTGTTAAATATATAAAAAAGTGTTTTTAATGTATAGGGCGGGGGTTGCACTCAGAGGCTTGCTCTGTGAAAGGGGTCACCAGTATAAAAGTCTGAGAACGACTGCTGTAAAATATCAGACTTAAAAGCAAATCAAACTTTTTGTAGTCTCTGCATTTTAGTTTTTGTTCTTTAATTGAATCTTCCCAACATCAACAGCTGTCACAGTAGCATGAGCTTTCACTTCTCCTGTTCAGGCTATATTTAAGTTTCTGTGAGCAGTGTCTTTGAATAGAAGTTTAAATATGGTAACCTTACAGCTTTTTATTTTCATATGGACTGAATTGAGTTTGACCCATAAACTGGTGTCTGGTATGTTAGAATTCAAGGGGGGTAAACACTCTGTATAAGCATGGAGTTTGCAATGGTATAACCCTGCACAAGCCAGTTTGGAAACAGGTGTGAGCATCTAGCTAGTAAAAGGCATAATCCACAGAGAAATGAGCAGGCAGGGCTGGCCTACCCCTTTACATTTTAATTTTCTTCTAATTTCAGATTAAAAAGGTCACTTTGACCCATTAGGAGGGGAGCCAGCAGAAACATTTAAGGGTAAATTTGTGGTGTTCAGAGCACTGTAGGATGAGGTTTAATACTGATAATGGTGGCACAGACTTATGACAGAACAGTGTCATTTAAAACTATCAATGGACCATTTAACACATGTGAATAGCAAAAAAATTGCTTCTGTCTAGTAAGAACTCGAACAGTGATACATTGTTTAGTGTCAGAAAGATGGTATCTGTTTGGATTGTTACAGCAAAAAAATCATACAAATTAACTTCTTTAAACTTTCAGAACAGAGGCTTTACCCGGAAGAGCCATACATTCCTGCCTAAAATATTTAGAAAAATGTCTACTCAGTCATCGAAAGAGAGGCCTGAAAATCTGCAGTTTCCATTCTTTGACGATGATACTACCATTTCTACAGTCAAAGAATCTAAAACCCTTTTTATCATAAGAGGCCTGCCTGGCAGTGGGAAATCCACTCTTGCCCAGGCTATTCAAGACCAGTATAAGGATGCCTGCAAGATCGTTTCAGCAGATACGTATAAATTTATACCTGCAATAAGAAGCTCCATTCCTGAAGATTATTCAAAGTTGGATGAGGATTTAGTTGACTATTGCAAGCGAGACATCAGTGTTGTTGTTGTGGATGATACTCACCATGAACGGGAACGGCTAGACCAACTCTTTGATATTGCTGACAGATACCAGTATAAAGTCCTCTTTGTTGAGCCCAAAACACCTTGGAAGATGGATTGCTTGCAGCTTAAGGATAAGAATCAGTGGAAACTGTCTGTTGAAGATTTGAAGAAGATGAAACCAAGCTTGGAGAAGGATTTCCTACCTTGTTATTATGGATGGTTTTTGAGCAAAAAGAGTTCTGAGAACTTGAGGAAGACTGGGCAAGCCTTTTTAGATGAGCTTGGAAGTCTTAAAGTATTCAAAAAGGAGTCTAAGTACTGTACGTATATAAATGTTCCCAAGCTTTTTATTCTACTAACCAGAGGGAAGGTTACCGCTTAGTAGACAACACAGGGAACAAACTTGCCCACTCAGCTTCCAAAGTAACACTTCCAGTTCAGTCTAAATTCTCCACAAGTTATATTTAAAGACACTGATTAGAACAACAAGGCGTTTTGTCCAAAAAGCAGAAGCAGCTTTAAATCATTTTTATGTAGGGAAGCACAACCTACTGCTTCTTTTAAATTTAAAAAGTTTTTGAAACATGACGTTTAGGGGATTTGCAATGGGATATAGAACCTTGAGCCTGCAGCCCACAGGGTTGAATCCAGCTTAGACTGGAAATAACCAAGCCATTCCCACCTGCTTTCTGTGATGCTCTATGTGAAGTAAGTTGGAGGAGAGAGGCCAAGGACCGAATAAAAATAGACTGAAACAGCATGTTGCCCCTAAAGTGATCCCTGCAATATCAAGGCCTAGGCAAACTAGCTAGCAGTGCAAGGAAGCTTGCATTGCTGGACTATACTAGTTGTGTGGATAAAGAACACTTCATTTTCTCCTGCTGTCTAGCGCACTCGGCTCCAAATAAAATTAAACCTTAAGTATACCTCTTAAATGAGTATTTGCAGGGGAAGATGAGTATTAATTTGTCAGTAGTAATATTGCTTGTCTACACTTTCAGTTCTTCCTGCCGAAGATCCCAAAGTAAAATTGGACCTGACCAGCTACTTTGCGAAAAGGCCACCTGGCGTATTACACTGTACTACAAAATTTACTGACTTTGGAAAGGCTATGGGAGCTGATGAATATGCACAACAAGAAGTGAGTGTCTTGGGTTTGTTTGTTTGTTTTTTTCTTCTTTCAAAAACATGTGTTCAAGTTGTGTGTTATGCCAACCTTTTACCCTGGTAGATTTGATGTAGCCATGCAGCTTTCTAAAACCTTAGCACAGCTGCAGATGTCCCCCTCACAACAGCACTTGTGAAGCTGGCTCACTTGACAGCCTGGTTAGTAGAGAAATAGTAAGACTGTTACTCCTCAGGACCGAGAAATAACATTGACAGGGAAATGCACTGAGGAAGTTTTCATCTCCAGACTAACTGCTGTTTCTTGTGGGGTTTTTCCTGTAAGTACTAGAGTTCTTCTCTCCTGGCTTGGTTTTGAGTGATCATGAGTTAAGGTATTGTCACTTCCATCTTTTGTACCAGATCTGATCAGCCTGAGGTTCCAATTAAAATACATAAATTAAGATGACCAAAAGGGGGAGTGACCTGTAACCATGATGTTGTTTTCATACCATATTGAGTGCTGGAGAAGGCCAGTGAAATCCCTAAGATTGTTGAGGAGAGCGGCTGTTCATGGTACACTTCGTAGCATATACATGGAATGTGTGAGAATTCCTCAAAGGAGATCAGTGAAGAATCTAACTGAAAAGGCAAAGAAGTAGATCTGGATGCGTAAACCTTTGAAGGGGCTTGGCAGGGCAAGGTTAATGTCACATTTAGAGTCAGTCAAAGTCCTATTCTGGATTCAATCGTTTGGTCCTCTCTCCCCTTAGGTTGTGAAGGCTTCCTATGGAAAAGCCTTTACCTTGACTATCTCTGCGCTGTTCCTCACGACAAAAACGGCGGGTGCTCGCGTGGAACTGAGTGAGCAAGAACTGCTGCTGTGGCCAGGAGACGTGGACAAGGTATTGCCTACAGACAACCTGCCCAAAGGCAGCCGGGCTCACGTTACCCTTGGATGTGCCAGTGGCATAGAACCGGTCCAGACTGGAATTGATTTGTTGGAGTTTGTCAAGCTGGAAAAGGCAGGGAACAAAGGTGATGAAATTGAGGAAGTTGGTGGAGGGAAACTGCAGTACTTTGGCAATGGCATGTGGATGCTCCTACTTTCTAAAAAGATCGAAGTGAAGGCTATTTTCTCAGGTTACTACGGCAAGGGAAAGCTCGTGCCTACTCAGGGCAGTAACAAGCGAGGCTCTGCCTTTAATCCCTGCACTATCATCTAAGTGCTCCAGCTGTGCAGTGTTTTTGGGGTTTTTTTTAAGACCATAACTTGGGTAACCTTTATAAAGTTGTAAAAAGAAAGTTCTACGTGTACTAAAGTAGCCCTTTTGCAAACTCTAGTATGAAGTGTCTCTCCTGGGACAATGTATTGGCCCTCAGGAAGGAAATTGGTGACCTGAGTGTAAAGGAAAACGAAGTGGCTAAAAACAACTATTTCTGATAATTATGTAGACCAAATAGGATCTTTTAAATAACTGAAGTGCTGAATGACTTTTTAAAATGATAGATATTTGTAGAGAGGTCTCACTCCTCGTTTTGTTCCTCAGAGGATCATTCCTGATAGTTCACGTTTTGTAATTTCCCTATGAACCTCAATTGTTCGAAGATGTGACCATAACTGATTTAGACAGTAGTGGACCAAAGTTTTTAAGCTACTTTTCATTCTGTGAAGCCAAGTGAGTTGAAGCTGAAAGTTCAACCCAGCTTTAAGTTGGTACAGTCCCCCACAGGCTGATGGAACATCCTGCCCTTGGTAGCAGATGATTAAAACCACTAGGATTAGGTATGTACTATGGGGAGTACAAGAATCTTCATTCGGAAGGGTCAAACTATTGCATCCCCATGGCTAGCAGTGTGTGGCCTACCCTAACTTCATGTGCTACCAGAATGCTTTGAAGACTTCCTTGGGTGTGAGAGAAAGGAGAAGTGCATTGGTGGGTGGGAGAAGGATCTACTTCCAGTTTAAAATTGAAGCTCTATTAAATGGAACTACTCTGGGTAAGATCATGAAAAGAATTTAAATATCAGGAAAAACTTCCTGGAAGTGAGATCTGCTCGGTCTTCTAGTGAAAATGGCAGGCACCACCATCACATGAGACATCTAAACGGAGACTGGACAAAGCTCTACTGTATGTATATTGTAGGGAACAATTCTGCCCTGGCAGGGGATGGAATAGATTAACGAATAGGTCTTTTCCATCTCTAACTCCTGATCCTATACACTAAAATCATGTCTGAAGTACTAAATTGTACTTCATGCAAAACAGGTTTTCCTGCTTTGGATTCAAAGTCTAATTCTTTTGAATGTTAAGATTAGCATGGAAGTACATGAAGCTAACATGTTACTTAGGAAGTAAATAATGGTGGCATTGTAATTTATGCCTAACTTAACCTGCTCAAATCTACATTTTTCCAGCTGGTTGTCTAATGTTCAAACATTTTAGTTATTACACTTTTTAATTATAGTTGAAACTTATTTCTGCTCATGTGAACATAGTGAGATGCTGCTTGCCTACTGATCAGATATTTGCTGTCATTACCTTCCTGTAACATTTGGCTGAACTAATCAGGTCAGACCAAGCAGTTTAAACTCATGTTATGGCTCAATGTCCCATGAACTGTAAAGTGTATTAAAATAAATCCAGTATTAATGTGTGTTTACTGTCTGACATGCACATGCAAGGTTCACAGCAGTAAAGGATCTGTCGCCATGACACCACAACCTTAACTGTGTTCAGCAGCTGGGTGTGGGCAGGGTCACTTACGAAACAAGCTTGCAAAACCCAAATTCATGTGGGGGGAGTTTCTTTGGGTTCCCTTCTCTGAACATCTAAAACAAAACTGAGGGAAGCTTTAGGGCTCACCTGGTGGAATATAAAATTCTGCAATTTGGTGAGTTTATTGGTGAAAGCAATAAACACCGCCCTCCTGCTCTCAAAGTGAGAACACTGACAACAGTTCACTTTACTCCACTTCTGAGCGAGTCACACTGTTTCCCTTCACTTCAGCAGAGAAACTCAACCATAGCCTGACAAGAGCTCCAGTGTGCTCCATAGGGGAAGCCCAGAAAAAAAGGTGACCATTAAGTGTTCAACTAGAGCAGGCCCAATTTATGTACATCTTTATAGCCATTTTGGGGAACATGCCTTTTCCTTAATGGCATCTACCCCCCAAGTCTTCCTCCCAGTTTGTATGCTGAAAACCCTTGACAGAAAGTTCTCACAACAGGGTGCCCAACTTTAAAACGTGGGGTAGCTGAAGAGCCTGGCTGTTTGCCTGGTCAAGAACAGTCACACGCTCATCATTTAAGTGTTTATTAGTTTGTACATCATATACAGTTTATAATAAACCAATTGCATATGGTTTTGCTTCAGTCTGATTGAGATTCTGCATATAAACACATCATATGAATTATGCCTAATGAAGTAAACAACAAATATTCACATTTTTTACCCTTCACATCCTAGAAAGGTAAAGGGCCCACAGAGGGACAGTGTTTATACCAGTATGAAGCCTGCCTTGAAGAGGGTTGGGCGTTTAGGAAAGCTATCTAGAATACAGATTGCTTCATGCAATAACCTTTCCTCTCAATGGAAAGGTTAAATCTTTACACTGAGGTAAACATACAGAATCTATTCCTTAAATTCAGTTAAATACTACAGCATGGGGGCTAATGTCCTCTCTGAGTGGCTTCACATCAGCGTATCCACTATTGTCTCTAGTTCTCTTTACAATAAAGACCAGTTTGGTTAAACACTGATCACTGGAAAGAAACCACAGCAAAGTGGCTCTCAATCCTCATTCTAGCTGGATGCCAAAGTGCTCTGGGCACTTACATTGGTTCATGAAGGTCTTAATTATGTTGCCCCCAAAGTCTTTGCAAATTCACGAATGCAATTATTTACAAAACAGTTAAAGCCTGTAGCTTCAATAAAAATCCATCCTTGGAGCAAAACTCCAAGTGTACTGATAAAGAGCACTACCCCTTACACAGCATAGTCAGCCCACAGAAAGAGGGGGCTCGAAGCAGCTTCATGTTCTTTAAAACTCATTTTTTGGAGTTCAGGTTGTGGCTATACCTGAACAGGATTTGAACCCAACACTAATATCACCTCTTGCAGGAGATGCTGCCAATAGACCTGTTATTCTTGGAAGTAAAGCCAGTGCTGAGAAAGGGGAAGAAGGAATATACCTGGGTTTGCCCGTCTAAATGTAGCCTGCCTTTAGACCGTAGACATTACACACACAAGCATCTCCAAACACCACATGGAGCGTCTCCTGCTTTCATTTTGAATGGACTTGGGCTTGACCACCTGAGACTAACCCAACTGCAGCTCAGACACTTTGTATTCTGGTCACAAGGAGGGACAGCACAAGAGCACTACGGGGAAAGTAAAACGCTTAACAGTTCTCTTATTTCAACAAATGGTTTTTAGAATAACTGAGGTTAGTTGGACTTTATACCAGTAGGTATGTTTGTGGTTGGGCTTTTAAAAAGCAGATACGTCTCTGTAGTTTGTCTCTTAAGGTCCATGATCTCAAGTGACCATGCCACTCACTTAACTCAGCTCTCAGTGTATTTTGTCATATCTGCTGACTTTAGAGGAATAACTCTTTATTCCTTTTCCTACCACAGTCACTGCCTGCAGCTGTGGGAAAGAAAGGTTCTGTTTTGGCTCATGCCCACTCCAGAGGATTGTTAATTGGTTCCAATAGCCGAATGCGGAGTGGTGATTTAAAAGCCACTCAAGTTCCAGATTCCAGGCTAAGGGAAAGGCCGCTGCTTACTTGTAGAAATAAGCCAGGCTGCTCCGGAAGTAAGGGAGCGTTCCTATGCAGGGAACTGCAGGGAGGCATTTTTAGTCACTTTTCAGAATAAAAACAGATTAAGGCTCTTCCTGTTGTGCCACAAATACGCTGTTAGTAATTTACCGTTGTCGAGACCGACTTCAAAAAATAAGACACCCGTGTTTCATTAAGAGTAGGACCTTTGAGTGTCAGTCTCCTCCCATGGAAAATAAAGTTTGTATTCCACAGGCGAGTCAGAAAAGGAAGAGTGCAGCTCTAAATAAGGTCTAATTAATCTATTTCCCCACTCTGCATGTTACGGGAATTACTGCCCACATCAGCTTTGTCCTCCACCACAGACAGAAAGCTTGAACATACTGTCAGGATAAGAGACCTGCTACTTACAATGGCAAATTCCTACATCCTGTAGCTCTTAACAAGCCAGAGGGAAGACACGAGAACAGATGTAGCCATCAGACAAATGGCATCAAGGCTCCCTGTTGGCTACTTATGAAATACCATCGATAAAATCAGTCCTGCTCAGTAACTGTGAAGTGTGAATGCAATGTTTTAAACCACACACACACACACACACACATATATCTAGGCAGATATGGTCTGAAAGAAACAGTTCCACTTGTCCAAACTACTATGCTCACACAAGAGGGAGGCTGCAATTTTAACATACATATGCCACAATGCTCATTTGCTACTGTCCTGAGACAGCAGTGTTTCCATTAGTGTTATAATGCACTCTGCAAAGTGAATGTATGTTCGCATTCACTTTGAGTCACACAACAGTGCTTTTTAAAAAAGCCTTGGCACTCACCATATTAATATTCAACTACATAAATCATGCAATCATGTACAGTTTATATAAATATCTGCTGTGTAGATGTCCCCTCTTTACCCCGAAAGAACGGTCTTTTTTAAAAGTGGGGAGCAGGGAAGTTGACCAACACTTAACTAACAAAGAATGTCGACAAAATGCAAGAAATGTCTCTCTACTCTGCTAATAGCATCTGAGACGCTTCCAAACTGCAGCTGTGAATAAAATGCCAGATGATACGTTTGTGAATCCAGAACGTCCCACCAAAGTGATGTCATGTAAACTTGGATTTGCAAGAGAACCATAAGAACCAAAGCAAGTTTCAAAATTCAGACCAATTTTTATGCCCCAAAACATTTAACCGAAGGGAGCTGATAAGATTCTAGCACCTTATTCTGCTCTCACTTACGCCAGAGTCACAAGGTTAAGTCCATCAAGTTACACTGGTGTGAGGGGGAAGAAGAAAGGCTGTGGGGGTCTCATTCTTCTAAAACGTTTCTCAATGCTGGCTCAGTTTAAACACTGGTTTTTGAACTTCCTTTGCTGATACTGGGCTGCAATAACTGGAATTAAGCCCTTAAATCTTCCCTCCATGAAAGCAGATGGTCACATTTCTGACAGAAGTAGCAGCAGGACTTACTTTTGTTGGTGGCAGTGCCCTGCATTTCTATGCCATCTGTGAGAGACACACCGCCTGGCATTGCCATCTGGCCATCCTGTAGCCAACTGAATTGAAGGATTCAGAGTAACAGCCTTGTTAGTCCGTATTCGCAAAAAGAAAAAAGGAGGACTTGTGGCACCTTAGAGACTAACCAATTTATTTGAGAATTGAAGGAGTGGCCTAGCCTTTGACTGGAGGGAAGATATTAAGGAAATGTGAATTGAACGTAAATTATTTTATGCTATAATTTAATTGTAAACCTTGTTTTCTGTAATACCACACACAAAATCTGTCAGCCAGTCCGATCTGCTAGATAAACAGTTGCGTCAGATTTCTCTAAGGAGTACACCCATCCTTAAATTTACTTTTATGCACAACCCATCTGTTCTCTTAGCCAGCTTTTCAACAACTGTCTCTACACTACAGCAATTGCAGTTTAACACAATCACCAGAGACTCTTCCTCTAAAATGGTTCTGCCCCTTTGGGCCAGGGCTGGTCAGCACTTATCTAGCAATTATCCAGTGACTTTCTACAGACACAAAACGCCACATCTGTGGTAAAGGCCACTGAAAATCCCATCAGCTATAAGGCTACTGTGAAAAGCTCCAAAACTACTCCACAGATGGTACTCGACTTGGATGGAGCATCCATTCAGCGGAGAGGATTCTAGTTACACGAGCTCTTTACTATCTGGAAAAAGGAATTGTTCTGCAAAGACGTACCCCCCTCACAGCCAATCTCAGGCTATGACCCCAAATCCACAGTGAACAGCAAAGGGCGGTATTACTGAGAGAAGTCAGGAAACGCTCTAAAAGCACCTCAGTTCTGAGGTCGGGGTAGCGTGACAACATGCAACTCCGGCTTCAGCACGTCAACAGATCACATACGCTGTCACAGAGGCAGTGAGGAAAGTTATGCACCATCAGTCCAGAGTTTCTGCCATAACTTAGAATCTCTTTGTTCCTGTAAAATACTTGGAATGCCAGTTAGAACTCACAGTTGTGTTACATTAAAAACAGACATCACTTTCTGTAAACGCCACCAACAGGTCCCTGCGCCCACAGTAACCAGTCTTCAGACATTTTTCACAAGTTGGAAACAGGCAGCCCGCATTATAGATTTGCACTATGGAAAGCGTCAAACATAAAGGGTGTTTTTAGACTGTAGAAACAAACCAATCCAAACCTAGCAAAACCATGTTTTAATCATATATGCTGCAATTAAATGATCAAGTGAATTAATTATAAAAGAGAAAAACTGAAAAGAAATTCACCCCAGACCACATTAAATATCCTCTTAAACAAAGATGGGGCATCTTGGAGTGGAAGCATTTAGAGCACGTATTTCTAGCTGCCCCATAGGGAGTTCTCTCATATCAGCTGCTCCCATAAATCTGAAGGAGTATTTCTCTCCAGTACGAAAACATTAAGATCGCTATTTGTCATTTACATTAATGCCCGGGTGTACATTCTCGTGTAGCCACGGCAAACAAAATTGCAGCTGGCAAACAGGACATAGCTGCTTGGGTGTTATAAAAACCCTGTTACGATTCAATTACTTACAAGAAAAAATGGGGCTCCAGAAACCCTGATGTGGCGCCATCCTGTACTCTGGAACCAACCAAAAGGAGCCATGAACACTTCACCCCACTGACAAGCTGGGTTTCCAGCAACAGGACCCTGGAGGAAGTCCGAACAGTCTGAAAACACGGGCCAGCATGGAGGGACCAAAAGATTCAAAACATTTTATTTTTTTTAATAAAGTTAACAGTAAAACAAAATTCACAAGCCTTCCCCGCCCCCTCTCTTCAGCGCTGGTTTCCTCTTCTCACACAAAGCACACAACAGAGAGGTCTCCAACTGAGAAAATGAAACTGCTCTAAGTACAATGAGACATGATGAAGGCAGGAGTCTAATTATGTCCGTATTCAAGGTTAAAACAAGCATTTCAGGTGTGTGTATGTGGTTTGTAGTTTTTTATTTTAGCCAAACTGGAAAAAGAAATTTCCTGGCCCAGAAGCTGAAAGAGAAAGTGAGAAATATTAGAGCTCGTGAGTCTCTCTCCAGAACGAAAAGGAGGACTTGTGGCACCTTAGAGACTAACCAATTTATTTGAGCATGAGCTTTCGTGAGCTACAGCTCACTTCATCGGATGCATACCGTGGAAACTGCAGCAGACTTTGTATACACACAGAGATCATAAAACAATGGTGGGAGGAGGTATTGTTTTATGATCTCTGTGTGTATACAAAGTCTGCTGCAGTTTCCACGGTATGCATCCGATGAAGTGAGCTGTAGCTCACGAAAGCTCATGCTCAGATAAATTGGTTTAGTCTCTAAGGTGCCACAAGTCCTCCTTTTCTTTTTGCGAATACAGACCAACACGGCTGTTACTCTGAAATCTCTCCAGAACAATGCTCTTGAACATCCGTGGAGTGCTGGACACATAACGCAGCGCTTGGACAGACACACACAAGGGAGGGGCTCCGGGCAGTTTAACTCTGCCACACAAAGAGGGGAACGGAGTAACGCTGGCACATGGTCAGTGCTGATAAGTTAAAGGGGTCTGGAGAAAGGATTGCAAGGGCTAGAGTAATTTGCAAACAAGACTTTTCCCAGGTCAGGGGTCCATGAGTTTCCCCCCTGGATTGTATTAATACTGGTTAAGGTGCCGACCAGATGCTCGGCGCTGTACAAGCCATCCCTGTGCCAAGAGGCTTGCAATCTATGGTGAGCGGACCATGCACCGGGAGAAGGATGGTCAGTGTGGAGCATAACAGCCATTTGCAACATCCCCTGGCCAACTCAAAATGCAGCGACAATAGGCCGGGGCCTCCAGAAGGCTCCCGGGAGTCTTGTGTGTCTAACAGGAGGCAGTACAGACTAGCTATACAACGTGTCTGATCAGACACCCTCGTTTCCAGATTCAGTGACCCAGCAGGTGCGTGCCTGAGTGACAGCCAAGCAGATTTCTCAGCAACAGAACACCGTTAGTGCCAAGTTTCCTCACACCCTGAGGGGGAAGCTTTTCTCTGCATAGGCCCCAGAGGCAGCCATCGGCTGGGGCACTGCACAGACCACGCCTTCTGTGCGGGCCCAGAGGCACGCAAGCAGTTAAATCAAACGAACCCTTTCGACCACCGACCTACGGCGGGGACGTTAATATGACCGTCACGTATATGAACAGCACACACGTTTCTCACGCTGGTGGAAAGACGTGTCACCTACCTTCAAAACTGAAGCCGCCTGGCCCACCAAAGAAAGCCTTGAAGATATTGTTAGCATCAAAATCTGCGGAGGGAGAAGAGAGGTGCAAGTTAGAGACACTGCTTGTGTTATTTCACGTCTTTGTACAGTCTTCTTAAACAAAGGCTCCTAAAGTCCTTTACAAATGGATACACACATGGCTCGCTTTACCCCCCATGGAAATGCAGCAGCAGGGAGCAGCGCTGCAGGGGTTTAGGGCAGAGTGCAGACTGCCGGAGTCACCAGAGAGACAGGCAAATGGAGTTCGTGCTAGAGCTAGGTCTGGACACTACGGGCCAACGGGCTGATTGCTGGGATAAACATCATGCAACCAACAGGGACCACGAGTGCTCAGCACCCATGGAAGACAGTCTCTTCAGCAGAACAGTGCCCCCTAGCTACGGGCTGGGGCACTGGTTCAGTACTGACTGAGGGAAGCTGCTGAATCACCAACAGCTAGGGGCAGCCCTCAGGTGTTTCTCGGCCATCTCCCCCTCAAGCGTCGACACAGCAGGAGCATGGTCAGTTCACGGGTGCCATGGGACACAGCAACGTTAGCAGGCGTTTAACACAAGCAAGGTAAGGAACAGCCCCTCCAGCAGTGAAGGCAGACCTGGCATCCTTTTACCCTGACAAGTTCATCCTGGCTCGCATGTTTGTGGGAACACTAACCTGCCATGTTCATGCCATCCTCCTCCAGATCCTGCCCACTGTCGTAGCGAGCCTTCTTCTTGGGATCCGACAGAATGGTGAAGGCTTCTCCGACTTCTTTGAACTTCTTCTCCTCTTCTTTCTGTATTTCTGCGCTTGCCCCACTGTGCCGGTCTAAGGGGCGAAGACAGGTAGGAAAGAAGCTTTCAATTGCTGCCAAGCGTCGCTGATGAAGTAAGCTGTAGCTCACGAAAGCTTATGCTCAAATAAATTGGTTAGTATCTAAGGTGCCACAAGTCCTCCTTTTCTTTTTGCGAATATAGAATAACACGGCTGCTACTCTGAAACCTGGAAAACACTACACGTTCCAGCCAACCATCGACTTTTATGTACCACCATGGTCATCCTGCTGAAATTGTCATTAAAGACCTCAAACGATACAGCCCAGTGGGAGGTTCTGAAGACGGGGAAAATGTTTCCTCTGAAATTCTCTCTTCCGTTTACTTCTGCTCTCTGAAAAACCTAAAGCAGTGAGCTGCATGCTAAGAGCAGAAAACATTTCTCTACCTGGGTGATGCATGAGTGCCCGTTTCCTATACGCCTTCTTGATCTCATCTTCAGAGGCGTTTTTGTCCACCCCGAGGATTTTATAGTAATCTTTCCTCTTGCTTTTTTTCAGTTCCACCTGTGCATTCTTTAGGAATTGCTTGTGTTCTAGAAAGAAGAGCAAGGCAGAAGGAAAGAGCCTTGTATCACATGCAGCCTTAGTAGCAACAGAAGGAAAGCATCCTTCTAGAATTAAAGAATTCATTTTGTTTCACTGTCCCCAGCGAGACATCTCCATTAACGAAAAATGCACTCACGTCATTATACTTAACCCCCAGGGGTTTGGGAAACAGGGACCTAGGTATTACCCAGCCAGCCATAGCCTCTCGAGACTCTGCATGTCAGATTTTGGCCAAGCCTCACTCACACGACAATCCCTTTGCATTACGCTGGGGTGCGATACCCAAACTAAACCATTCATCGCGCGTGGCTTCTGCTTGTAAGGAAACGCCCTGGGGTGGGGACAGAGCCAATTTTTTCATCTTTGAGAACAGAGGAGACTCTTGTGCTCAGGCCTGGCACTTCGGAGATGGCTCCAACAGGAGGGGTCAGTGATGGCCGAATTTCCAGAGAAAAGTGTGAACTGCTCAGTCAATGGGGTGTGGGCACCTAACTCTGGTTCCTTGGAAAATTCCAGCCCAAACCGACTCAATGTTAATGTCCTTTCAGCAGCGGCGCCCACTTCCCTGAGCCCCTGGTGGTGCCTGGTGCACCAGGCAGTATCTTAAAACACCTCTGGCTGCTATGCAAGGGGAAATGTTAACACCCTCAGTGTGTCAATAAAACCTTGGCACCAAACATCTTCCTGCCCTGGATAGTACTGTAGCCCTGGTGCTGCAGAGATCAACGGAACTGGGGAGGCTTTCATGACACCGCTGCTAGTAACAGGCACATAAGTAGCCCATAATACAGGCAACTCTAGATCCCTGTGGTATCCCAGCATCTCCCAAACATGTTAATTTATCCTCAGTTCCCCTTGGAGATGGAGACGTGTCATCCTCCTCATTTTCACTGATGGGGAAACCAAGGCATAAAGAGATCCAGTGACTTGCCCAACTGCACTTGGCATTTGTGGCAGAGCCAGGATTTGACACCACCCCCTTCTGGATGTCAGTCCAGGGCCAACCACTTGACCAAGCTTTACCCCGCTCTCCAACACTGGGAGAGAACAAACTCTCACACGATTCCATTAAGCAGCTGTCCTGGAGCTTCTGGGGATTTTCCCAATATCCGTACAAAGCAAGGGGCAGCATTAAAGCAAGAGGGGGCAGATCCGTGTGTACAATGGCAATTCAGGTGTTTACCAGCATTGCCGCCTTACAAGAAACAGGTCTGTCAAGGGGCAGGTCATGTGTATAGAAAGCGAGGGCTGATGCTTTTACCTTTTGTTTTCTCTGTCTGGTAAACTTTTTCATAATCCCTCACAGCATCTTCGTATTGTTCTGTGTCCATGTAACTATGCAAGGAAACAACGGTTACAATGGAATAGTTTACAGAGACTAACAAAAACCACAGCAGCAGGGGTTAAATTATGAGGCTTCTGGAGGGATAAAACTACCGAGGGAAAGATATGCCTAGGACCTGCAGAAGCAAAAATGAAGGGGCTCCGTAGGGAGAGCCCAAGGTGGGATGCAGCCACCTGCATTTCTCAGGGGTGACCCACAAAGGAAACCCTGGCAGACTAAGCCTGTGCTCCGGTCCCAACCCCGACCCGCATCTGCCGTCTTGTTGTGCAGGATGAATCCTAGCAGGTCAAGAAGCCATCCCGCATAGAATCGCTTCACCCATTCACCAGGTGCAGGAACTACCAGCAGCCGCTAGGAATTCCGGGAAACTGACGCAGAGTCAGACACTAGCTATGGTCTCAGGGCGGTTAAGAGTGATGAGACATTTCGGTTAATACCCTCCGTTATCAGAGGGCTCAGTGGTGGCTGGTTACTGCCTGAAGAACAGGCAGCACTGTCCCATCACCAGATATTACCGAGCCCCGGATGGGGGTGGGGCAGGGCAGCCAACTTGAAGAAAAAGATCAGGCATTTCAACTTAAAGAGTGATCCGACAGGGGGCCCCAGGGGCCCTTTCAGCACAGCAAGTGCCCAAGAAACTCTGCCACTGCCCAGAGTGTGGGGAGCCACAACACCAGGGGCCCAGGAGAAGGGGAATGCAGAATTTCTGATGAAGACTGTTGACGAGACATTAAAAATGGTCTCCGTGCAGCAAGCCCTCAGCCCCTGCAGCTGAGCGTGCACTGCACAGGGACAGCCAACCCTCCAAGCAGCGGCAACGTCACTAAAGCAAGGGTCCCAAGCGCTGGCGTTCACTGCCCAGGCTGTGCCACGTGCCCTGGGTGCCAGTCACTGTGGGTTCAGAGACCCTCACCCAGAACAGGGTGGCATAGCCACTATCCTTGAAGAGAGATATTGGCCCTTTACAGGGAGGCATGAAAGACAGGTCTTGCGACAGGTCAGAGCCAGCCCCATTTCACAGCAGGCTCTGTAAGCCAGGTTAATGGAGTGAGATTTCAACCACTCTGGGACAGGACACTGCTTTAAGCTACTTGATTAAATCACCAGCTACAAGGGAGAACAAACTAAGGCTAAATGTGACTGGCAGCCCACGGCATCAGGTCCACGACGGTGCTGTCAGGCTTTCCGTAGCCACCAGGCACACACCTGGCTACAACAGGAGCCTGCATTCACACACCGCTTCCCTACGACGCTGCCTTTCATCCCCATTCAACTGGTCTCAGCTCCGGCAGCCAAGCGGCACTGCAGACAGCTGGTCCCCAACCTGAACCTCCCTCTGGGTGCTCAAAGCCCCAGCCTGCTTACCATTGTGCTCTCCTCAGGTATGCTTTGATATATGTGTCATCCAGTTTTATTGCATTTGTGCAGTCATCTATTGCTTCTTCTAGTTTCCTAAGCTACAAAGCCAGACATACAGTTATTCGTGAATCCCCTTGAGAGGGGATGGATTTCGACACGATTTATGTTGAAGCTGCGGAGATGGAGCTACAATCTCCATGCAAAACGAAAGCCACAAATACATGGCTCATCTGGAGACGCCTCTTTCCACCTGTCTGGCACATCCCCTTTTAGAACCTGCTTCTCTGCCTCACGGAAGGGCCTGGAGGTGAACTCCCTGCCAGGACTCTGCCTTGAAAGGAGACAAAACACACTGCTCCCCACCCCAGCCCAGAACTCGTGCTCCCTAGGAATACTGGAACTCTGGCTGCACCTGGAGAAGCAGCAAATTCATTTTTATAAACCACTCACTGCTGCTTCTTAGAAGAAGCGTTTGGAAGGGGGTGGGGGTGCAGGCAGAGGGGACGAGACTTGGCCCCACACTAATTCCCAGGTGGGATTACAAACTGGCAAAAATTAAGAAAATTAAAGGGGTGGGGATGAGAAACCACGTTACCAGTTTTCAAGTGTGAGCATCACACAACTGGAGCCAGATCTGGCTCCCCACTCCCACAGCCCGATGGCCGGAACAGCCTTCTGGGCAGGCTCCCACGCCCACTGGTTTGAGCAGGCATCGGCGACTGCTCCGGCAGCGGAGGGTGGGATTTCACGCTGTGTGGGTCACATGATCAGCAAGGAATTGCTCGGGGTGGGGTTAGGTTTGGTAACTCCTGTGTTATAGTTTTCTTGGATGTCTGGCAAGGGCGCCAGGGCTTTGGACAGGTGTCCTTTCTTTTTAGATGGAATTAAGTACAGTAAGTGATCTGTGGGCGCTGAAGTCTCCTCGTTCTCAGGACGGGATTAAATAACTCAGCTGGAGAAGGGGATCTAAGGCCTAACACTTCCCCTGGCTTGGGTTTCACGTCTTTAGGACAGTTGTGTCCCATGCTGTTTGGAACAGCACCTACCCACGCAAACATGAACCCTAGCTCCTTGCCTGCAGAACTAGCAGGGACTAGACAGCCCAGCAGGGATGGAGAAGCATCGCCAAACCAGCCTAAACAAAAGAGAAATTTGGCACCATGCCTCGTTCTGGAACGAATCATCCCTCGTCTGTATCCCATGGGTTTCTCCTCCACGGCAATGCAGTTTATAACTGGGGAGTGCCTTGAGCTCCCAGGATGAACGCCCACCTTTAATGCTGCCTGAGTCTTACCTTTGAATTAACCGTCCCCCGGTTACAGTAGAGTTTGGCATTTGTTTTTATGTTATTTGGGTCTATCCCCAGTGCCTCTGTGTACAGTTCATATGCTAGTTTGTAATTGCCTTCTTTAAATGCTTTATTTCCATCTTCTTTCTTTGCTTTAAGTGCTTTGGCATTCTGAAAGAGAAAGTGCCCTGGGATGAGGACAGACACTCTATGACGACATCAAAGCCCAAGGCTCACTGATCCCAAGACACACTTTCTAACTTGCTTTCAAACACAGCCCCAGACCATACAAGCTGCAGCTTTGTCACCACTCCAGCTCCTCTCTGCTAAGAAACAGCCAGTGTCAATCGCAGCCATTCCCCGTGGGACGAGGGGACCAGTTAAAGCTCAAGGTCAGAATGTAGCAGGGAAGGAAACAGTTGTATTATAAAAAAGGAAGGAACCCAACATTTTACATCTTACCCAGCTCTGTGTTGCCTGAAAAGGTGGGTGAAGAAGAACTAGATTGGAGAAGAGAGGACGGGGCAGGAACTTGAGAGGAAAAACACTTCAAATGCAAGTCAAGCTGCAGATCTTCACATTTTGACAGCTTGCGTTAGACTTCACTGGAAGTCAGAGGCTAGAAACTTAGTATCCAGGACTGCAGAGAGTGATCTCCGATTGCTCCAGAGAACAACAGGCAGGAGGGGCAGCCCACAGCGTGGCCTAACCCTGGAGAGGTCTATCAGTGGCTACCCCACAGGGAAGCAGCAGGTGGAGTTCAGGATGGACCTGATGCGCTGGCTACAGCAGATATGTGGAGGGTTAAAGCGTCTGGGAGAGGGGAGGGGAAGAACAGCAGGAAATGGGGGAGGGTTCAGCTGAGCAGAACAGATTCATTATAAGCCATTGGCTCCCCAGTCGCGGTACTTACTCGGCAGGCGAGACATGCTTTCTCGTGATCAGGAGCCATCCTGAGTGCCTGGACGAAGAACTGCACAGCCTTCTCGATGCAGTCTTCATAGTACAGGCAAAGACCTCGGACGTAAAGGGCGTCTGCGTTTGTGGAGTCCATGCGTAAGATGTCGCTGGAATAGCCAGACATGCACATTCAGAATCCAGTCTAAGCACTTTCGAGATGTCATTTCCTTCTAACCATCAAGAACAGCCTCGCTTCACCAAGGCGTTAGCTATTTCACCAAGCCTGCAGCCAGGGTGCTGCACTGGGAAATGCAGGCAGGCCTGCGAGTGACACGGTGGGAAACCCAGCATGGTTTTTAAGCAGGTGGCCTTAGTAAGACTAAATGGCAGGGGTGGAATTTGAGCATCTGTCCTAACCACATCTTGCACTTCAAGAGGAACTTAAGTTATTACACGTGTGTTTCCATCACAAAACTCCCCTCTCAGGGCTAGGTTGAACAAATTCACACTGAGCTAGTGCTCTTGGGACACCCGGGGCTCGTTAGTACGTCAAGTGTTCCTACCTAGCTACAGACTGTGCTTCTGGATAGCGACCCAGCAGTGCCAAACATTCGGCCTTGAGGATTTTGAACCGATGACAGGCAGGAGCGAACTCCAAAGCGCGGTCCATGCAGAACACGACCTAGCGGAAGAAGAAAAGCAAGTGGGAACAAAGCAAACAGCCAAGAGCCAGAGCTGAGAGATGGTGCTATTTCTGCACCAGCTGGGATGGCAGACTGGTCTTCAAACTGAACCATGCAGACCCAGAAAACACACTTCAGTAGAAGCCTCCCCGATATGTAGGGTCCTAAAGGCCCCTCATTTATGAAGATCTGCAGCTCGTCTTGTATTGCTCGCGAGCCCATCTCTGGGGTATCCAAGCACCACACACACAACGAAGGGTCACAAAGTGCCCCATGGACAGCAACAGACCAAACCCAGCCCTTTTAAACCCTCTGATGCTATGGCGAAAGAGGGTTTTCTAGGTGCCTGAGACAGACCATTATGCTCCCACGTTTCCTGAACTTCTCCTCTTTCCCCATTGGTAGGGAGTGTGGGAAGTGGTGGAAACTCAATCGACAGAGACAGTTGGAACCGGACTGAACAAAGCACAAGATGCCAGTGCAGGGACTGAAGCTGCACTGGCCTGTGATGGGCTGGGTGACCTAATAGGTCTTTTCCAGCTCTGGTTTCTCTGGTGGAGACAGCTGCATGAGAACGGGAGCATTGTTCCACAAAGGTTCATCTGCTCCTGGGGCCGGGCTCTCAATCCCCCGTTTGTGACATCACAATTAGCTGCTGTGGGGAGCACCGATATGCTACAGATTGAGGAGCCTCCCGCCTTCTGGGTGGGGAAGGACCAGGAGCAGCTCTCCAGAAACAAAGGTTTTGTTTCATGACAACGTCCCTAGCGAAGTGAGATGGGAGAAGTGAGGGACGGAGACACAGGCAGAGTTATTCCTAGATACAAAATCCAGATTGTGAAGAGCAGCTGGCACAGTGGGACAATCGGATGAGGCAGAGCTGGGATTGACCATTACAGAATCCAGAGCCTGGGCTTCAGGCATCTCCTCCTGCAGACACTTACGAATAGTGCTCTTAACCCTGATGTGATGAAGAGACGGTCTCCTGCCCTGAGCCAAACCCTGACCTCGCATACATCCACTGAAGGCAACTGCAGTTGGGTGCGAGTCGCACGTGGGTGTCGGAGGGCAAATGTGTCTTTCAGATTTCACGGCTACTCTCACTAAGGCAGGGCAGTACCAGCTGCACCCAGCCCATGAGAGGCTTAGAAACAGGAGTGGAGGATGCGGTGAATAGCTATGCATTCCCCCTTTATCTCTTTAACACTGGCAGGGAACCTGCTGCTTTGTGAATAGGGATCTTGGGGATGTCTTATAGGACCAGTGTTTGCTTTACAGCTGCTGAGAATGTAATCTGATGAGCAACGCCCACAGCCAACACCCCAGTCCCACCCATACTCCGCCCAGCCTGCACGGCTAAGGCTATTCCCGCCAGGCAAGTTAGCTGGGTCAGTGCTAGATCAGCATAGCTCTGCCTTCCTCACAGGGCAGCCCACGTGTGCCCCAACAGCCCAGTGGAGTTATAGACTCCAAGGCATGATTTGGCTGTGGGGCGCCTTCTCCCGCACTCCAGCTAAGGGCCAGCGTTCCCTACGTAAGTTCCTTCTAAGCTGCGCAGCCTGCCTATTAACCCCCAGGCAGGGGCTCAGACTGCAGCAGGGAGAGATGCCTCTCCCCCAGCATGGACCTGCCACGCCAGGGGAGAGGCACCCCTCCCTGCTGGCCCCAACACGGACCTGTCCCAGACTTGCCACTGCTGGGGGAGAGGGCCTGGTCCAGGCCCACCGGAGCTGCTGGGGAGAGAAGCCCCGCCGGAGCTGCCGCAAGGGAGCGGCGCCTCTCCCCCGGCCCCAAGCTGCTGTGTTGAGAGGAGTCCTCTCTCCGCACTGCAGCCCCAGGACAGCCGGCAACCCCAAACCCCTCATCCATGAGCCTTCACCCCTAGCCGGAGCCCTCATCCCGCCCCACTCCAACCCTCTGCCCCAGCCCTGTGCCCTCTCCCCCATGAATTTTGTTATGTGCACCAATAGGAAGGTTATGTGTCACACATTTCAGCCATATTGGTGCACATAAAATTCATTCTGCACATGGACATAAAAAATTAGAGGGACACTGTCCCTGACTCCTGCTGAGCCAGCCAGATCAGTGTTTTCTGGTCATATTGTGACAAAAAAGATCCATGTTGATTTTACCTTCCTGAAATCCCGTTTCTCAAAATCGATTTCAGCTATTCTCTCGTATTCCAGCACAGCGCTCGCATTCTTCAACTGCAAGAAAGGAGGGCACAGTCGGTTTCGCCTCGATGGCTCTGCACCTCCGCTGGGTGGCATTTAAACCAGCCAGCGCCCAGGACACCAGAGCAGCCCTGGGAGCAACAGTACTCTAGAGCTACCCTTGCTTTTCTAAAGCCAGTTTAATGCGGGCACCTGGGACTGGACTGGCTTGATCGCCCTGGAGAACGAAGGCCTCTGCTTAACCACAGACAACACTGCCCCCCAGCCACCGCCGCTCCTCACCACTCCCCCCGATTGCCCAGTCTAGCTCCCACATCTCCTCGGCCCTCGGCCCCTTAACCAAGGAGGAGAGTGCACACAACAGCAGTTTTGCAGAGAGGGTATCAGTCTAATGAAAACTGGACTGAGAACCCCCAACTCATTTCACCTCTCCCCCCATCAGATGGCTTCCCCACAGTGACACCATTTAGTCACTTCTAACCTGAGCTACACTTGTTTCTGCAGCCCAGAGGCGAAAGGCTCCATAGCACAATCCTGCTCCCCTGGGCAGCCCCCACGAGGGGGAAATTTGGATCTCAGAGAGTTTCTTACCTCTTGTTGTGCCTGAGGGTTTGTACGATCCAGTTCTAGAACTCGTTGGAAGCAGCGGCTGGCGGCCATGGCATTCCCGAGAGACAGGTGACATTTCCCTTCCCGTAGGTGTCCCTGAGAAGATAGTTAAAAATGTGGCAATAGTTGGCACGCGCGCGGGGGGTGGGAGGGTGGGTGTGGGTGTTCCAAAAGCTAGTAACAATGATACACTAAATGGCTGGTCACCTACCCTTACAAAGGTATCGTCCAATCTGACAGACTGTTGGGCATCTCCCAGTGCTTCCCGGAACTTCCCCAACATCATTAGGGTGGCTGCTCTGTTACCATAATAACTGGCATTGTTAGGACATGCGTCTGGAGAAAACATTATAGCAATCCCAGTTAGAGCAATGCAAAGGGCTACACAGGTTGTAGACAGAGCACATTACAAGGTCACTACTGGGTTCAAAATCACATTCCCTGTTTGCAAGTTCATACCTTGCCTGAGCAGCTTAAAAATTACCTGGAGTCCACCATTTATACATAGGAGGACCCAGAGGGATCGGAGTTCCCTTGTGCAAGCGCCCTGGAAATAACATAGTGTCCCGTTCAGTGCCCATCAGCATGGTAACACTGCTGAGCCCACATGGGAGGGAACTGTGCAATCCTTAACACTACGGAGATCCCAATCAATCAGCCTGGCTGGAACAGACATCGACAAGGTGCTACAATACAGCTATCCCGAGCACTCACAAGCGTTCACGGTAAATCTGGTGAGACCTTGCACGGTAACTAACACGTCTGCGTCACCGGGACGCCTGGCAGAGGTTTCTTCCACATGTGCCGTTAGCAACGTGAGTTGAGCAATATGCTGGGCGATCTCCCCCCATAACCCATTCGGTTTTAGCGAGCTCCAGAACACTGTCACAAACAGTCGCTCTCACCTATGGCTTTTGTGTAGTAGTTATACGCTTCGTTGTAATCTTTCTTGGCATAATAGGCGTTTCCTTGTTCCTTGAAAGACTCTGCTTCTCTGAAAGAGTAAAATATCCCACCGTGAAATGAACAGAGACACACTGACTGGCCACAGCCGCCTCAGGACAGCTCTGCATGGTTCTACTGGCTACACATGGCTCTAAAGCTGGCCCACCTGGCCACTACAGAATTCCCCCTTCGATGGTACTCACGGGGAAAGAGGGTATCCCCATGTCCAGGGGACTGCCGGCTGCTGGAATAGCCTTTGGGGCCACAGGCAGCTGGCTACTTGACGCTGTACTGGGGGCCAGCCAAGGATCACAGAAGCTCATGATGGATTCAGACCATCTTTGCACACGGCCACCGCTCCGACTCTGGCCCCGTGAGCACGGACTGAACCAAGGGTATTTGTTTCTGAATTCTCAGAAACCAAGAAAACTGCTGAAGCTTTAACAGAATTTATGTGTCCGATCCTGCAAGGTGATGTTTACCCCCAACTGCCACTGAAATCAGCAGAAACCAAAAGTGCTGACCACCTGTCAGGAGCAGCTCCAGACCATGCAGAAATGGCCCAGACCACTGGAGAGGTCTCCTGAAGTCAGCAGGAATGGAGGGTGCCTGGCAGGCTGAGGAGGGGCCCAGGAAAGGCCTGGCTGCAGGGTCAGGTTTTTAAATCTCCTAAAATATTCCACGTTCAGCCTGATGCATCTCTCCCAAAGCCCTCGGAAGTTGAGCCCTCAGAAAAACAGAAATAATCGCACCCACCGTCCATCTCACCACGTTGGCAGGGCAGCACGGCAGGGAATATGCACTGTCACCCTTCCATGCCCCACAGCCAGTCCTTTGCGCCCCACACGTTAGGAAACACTGCACTGAGGGACAAACTCTCTGGGGCGGCATAAGTCAGGCAAAACTGGGCCCTATCACTGCATCTGCTGCTGAAACAGCAGCATTGACTAACATTTACAAAGGCTCCGTCTCCCACGTCCCAGCTGCTAGTTCAGGGGTGGGCAAACATTTTGGCCCGAGGGCCACATGGGGGTTGTGAAATGGTGTGGAGGGTCTGGTAGGGAAAGCTGCGCCTCCCCAAACAGCCTGGCCCCTGCCCCCATCCACCCCCTCCCACTTCCCACCCCCTGAGTGCCCCCCTCAGAACCCCCGACCCATCCAACCCCCCCTGCTCCCTGTCCCCCCCACCGGGACCGCCCGAGACCCCACCCCCTATCCAACTCCCCCATGCTCCCTGTCTCCTGACTGCCCCCCCGAACCTCCGCCCCATCCAATCGTCCCCTGACTACCCCCAGGACCTCCTCCCCCCCACACCAGGCCGCTCACAGCGGCAGGACAGGCTTGTTGGAAAGCCCGGGAGGGGCCGGGCAGGACAGTCCCGCAGGCCGTAGTTTGCCCACCTCTGTGCTAGTTCTCACCACGGCCTCTGTCTGGTGGGCCACCCGCTCTCCTACCCTGCACGGCTTCTCCAAAGCAGTGTCACCTCTCAACAGGACCCAGACAAACCTTAACAGCAATAGTGTCTACATACTGGTCTTTTGGGAGCTTAGCTACCAGGGCTTCCCAAGTTCAGGTCCAATTAACGTGAATGGTTTTGTTTCCCTTTCTATGCCATTGAGGGAGATGGAGGCTTTAGAAGCATAAACTTGCCCTGTTCTAGAATGTATTTCAATCAGCACTGGGATAAAATCATTTGGGTCTTCACCACTGCACCCAGAGCCTCAGAAATGAAAGCACCCGAGGTTTCCAATTACGCTCAGTCCTTCCGAACTATAACTCCCACAATGTACACAACTCGAAACCCTCTTCCTTGGAGGAAGGCAAATTTCAGAAATCAAGCAACAGGGGGCAAGTCTACAGAGTACACAATTAATGATCAAACTCGCATTAAGGATACAGTATCACTTGGATTCCAGCCCAGCACAGTCCTTATGGTACTGAGAGCTATTACACTGGGCTAGTCCAGCCACAGATATTTGCTGCACATGGTAAGCAACTCCTTCCTTACCGCAAGCGTAGCCGACTGGCATTGGACGCCTTCCTCCCCATAAAGGAAATGTCAGTCAACTGCTCCCTATATAGAATTCACAGCAGCAACGGGGCAAAGGCCCATGGGACTAAAATAGCTAAGGGGCCATTCCAGCCTGCTAGAGCAGATTTCCACATTCAGTCTCAAATGCTCAGGTCACACCAGACAGGCTCCGAGCTGAGCTTCTCCACTTTCAGAAAACCCAGGGCCCAGAGTTACAGAAATGACCTGTGAAGTCCAAGGCAGACATATAGCACTGAAACTAGCTTTCATATGCCAAGGCAAGCAGCACGGGTGTACAGAACGGGCAGCCCAAGGAGTTATTAGATCTACCCCCAGCCCCCTCCTTCCCTGTAAGGCCACATGGTAGGCCCAAAGCTGATCAACCAATTTTACTGCTGGTGAACTTAAGCAATTTCTACTATCGCTGTTAGCTTTGTAGGAGTGTCCAGAGGCCCAAATCAGGATCAGGCCCCTTTGCACTACAAGCTCTACACAGACTCATAGGCAGGTATCAGCTCTATCTTGAGGAGCTTACAGTGTAATCTATCAAGGAAGGTATAAGCAGGTGTTCCATTTGATTCCATTTTAATTTACAAACATTTGGTGCGGCTCAGGCTCTGAACAAGCAGCACGCCTCTGCCATCCTCTTTTGATGGCCTGAGTGAGACTGAAGCGGTGCCAAGACACTGTGTGAGCTCTGGAAAGCAGCGATTTCACCCTTCATGACATCCTGGACAGGTAAAGGCTGGGTGCCACCCTGGAGAGCCATGAATGCACATGGTCCAGGACAGCCGTGGAATGCGCACCACTGACGGTATATGGGCTGGCTTAAATCACAATAGCCAAATAAGAGTCCATTGCAGCCACATGGAGTAACTTTACAACGGACGTATGCCAACACTCCTGAGCATCAGATGAGGCATGGCAGGTTGTAAAGTCAGAGATCTGCTGGTCCAGAGCCTATTATTTAACATTGACATTGTCGGAGCCCTTTGTGCTAGTTGTCGGACAGACACAGTAAATGACAGTCCGTGAGCCAAAGAGTCCAAGCTGAAGACACCTTTCAACACCACCCCTGATTAAATCATCATCTGATACAGAATAAATCCTGGTCTGGGTATTCAAAACCCTGGCCGTCCACATGCCCCTATCTGTAAGGAGCGAAACACTGCCATGGCCCCTTTCTGCCCAAAGGACGGCATTTCAGCGGGCACTGAGCTGAAGGCTATCTGAAGCGAACAATGTGAGTTATGTTTGGCAAGCCCACTAAAAAAGGAACAAAGGGAACTGTGTGGGGGCAAGTTAACATGTTTTTAACCTCATTCGGGCTTGCCATTGGCCACTCCCACAAAACTGCCTCATGCACTGGGCTAAAAGAAAAGGAGTACTTACTTGTGGCACCTTAGAGACTAACCAATTTATTTGAGCATGAGCTTTAATAAATTGGTTAGTCTCTAAGGTGCCACAAGTACTCCTTTTCTTTTTGCGAATACAAACTAACACGGCTGTTACTCTGATGCACTGGGCTGTTTTCACAGAAACAAGGCAAGTTTGTCAGCTGGCAAAACAATAGATACAGAGTGTTACCACTCCAAGGGCCTTCAGGGTCAGGGCTAAAATATGTGCTGCTCACTTTCATTTTTAATCTTGTTCCCAATTAGGTTCAGCTCGGGATGCTGACAATGGGCAAGACCCAGGTCTAGTGGCACTCCACTGGTCAGACACACCAGGGATACCCTTGGCCCAGTATGTTTAAGTACTATTTAAAACAATCAGTCAGAGTCCAGGGGCGACTGGGTGGCAGAGCAGTGAGCTGCCATGTGGTGCTCGGAGAGCGCATGTCCCAAAGTGGGAGTGCTGGGAACGCAACAGATCCAGATCCCTCTCCCTCTGTTTCACTGGATTCACTTCAGGGCCTTGAAAGGTATCTAATAAGTTCCCATCCAACCCCTAGCCTGAGTCTGGTCTGAATGAGCTTTCATCTCTATCTGGTGGGAAGCTGCCAATATGCCCTCCTCACCCATGCCCAGGAAGGGCATCATGCCAAGGTTGCCAACAGAAATGAACCCTCTGCTGCTGTGATTGAAACCTGTAATCTCCAGCCGCACAACCAAGTCAGCCGGGGGAGATGCACCCTGGAGTGCGTCAGAACACGTGGCAAGTGTCAGAACAGAACTCCCCACCCGCACTGCACTGGCTCTAGAGGGAAGCAGAGCTAGACAAATATGCCCCCTACTTGATTTACAGCAAAATGAAAAATCACTTTTTAAAATGGCATTGTCCCGACAGACAGACAGTGCTCCTCCGGGCAGTTTAGAAGACACATGCAATGTACATCTCATCGGTGCCAGGCTGTCGGTCTCTCTCTCAACTCTTGGAGCAGTGATTGTTTCAGTAACTCGTGCCAAGGGGGTGGATTTGTACCACTAATCGGGAGGGGATTTTCACTCCATAAGATAAGACACCCATGCACAATGGCCACTTCTGAAGATGAGGAGGGTTGAAGCATTCAGAAGGCAGTGAAGGAAGTGGTGCCTAGAAGTTTGCTTTCTAGCATGTAGGGCAGGGGCGGGCAAACTTTTTGGCCTAAGGGCCACATCGGGTTTCCAAAATTGTATGGAGGGCCGGTTAGGGGAGGCTGTGCCTCCCCAAACAGGCAGGCATGCCCCCCCCGACCCCCCCTGGACTCCTGCCCCATCCAACCCCTCCCTGTCCCCTGAGGGCCCCCCCATCCAACCCCTCCATTCCTGATTCTCCCCCCCCTCCCCGGGACTCCCCTGACCGCCCCACCCCCACCCCCTGACCACCACCCTGAACTCCCCTGCCCTCTATCCAACCCCCCCTGCGCGGGTGGCTGGCAGCACCACACCGCTGCGCCGCCCAGAGCACCGAGCCAGGCAGCCACACCGCCGCGCCGCCCAGAGCACCGGGCCAGGCTGCGGGTCTGCCGCCCCGCCACCCAGAGGCTGGGGGGAGGGGGAGCAGCAGGGGAGGGTCCGTGGGCTAGCCTCCCGGGC